GCTTAGTTTTTTTTTTTTTTTTCTGGAGGTTTTATGTGTTCTTTCATTTGGGCCATAATTCTTTGTCTTGGTGTACCTGTTACATTGTAGTGGGCAGAACCTTAGGTATTCCCCATGGTGGGGCAACCCACTTTGCTGTGTTGTGGCACTGTATGTTGGGGAGGGGTCAGAGAGGGAACAATGCTGCTTGCTTGGCTTTTGCCCCACTTTCAGTCACTTCCCTTGCTTCCCATGTGCAGATTGTGCCCTTTCAGGTGCTCTCCTGGTGCTGATCCCTGGGTGAATGGGCTGGTGTACATTCCAGGATCCTGTGAGCCCCTCTAAAGGACTCTCCTGCAAGACTGGTAGTTTCTCCTGCCATTACAACCCCACAGGTTATTACAGCCAGAGGTTTTGTGGCTTTAGTTTCCCGCACTGGTATCCTGGGTTGCAGGGTCTGTCTCACTCCCAAGTTGTTCTTTCTGGCTTGTCCACACACAAATGTGGGATATTCTGGTCTGCCAGCCACCAGCTTGATCTTCCAGCCCCCACTGCCTGTCTCTGTCCCTCCTACCAGTTTAGATGAATATTTCTTTAACTCCTTAGTTGTCAGACTTTCATACAGTTAGATTTTCTGGCAGTTCTGGTTATTTTTTGTTTTTAAATTGGTTGTTATCTTTCTTTTGGTTGTGTGAGGAAGCAAAGCATATCTACATATGCCTCCATCTTGGCCGGAAGCCACCAGGTACTGATCTTATCTGTATGACAGAAGCTGGGTCTTGCCAATGTTCGTATTCCAGCCAAGGGAAAGGGAAAGAGCAAAAGCAGAGAGCAAGCTGTTTTCTTTAAAGCAAGTTTCACTTCCACTCACATTCCATTAGCGATGAATTAGTCAGTTGGCTACACCCACTGCTTGAGGTGTTCTACTGAAGAACAAGAGGAGGTTATCACAAGGTAGTTTTACTTAAGGCAAGTAAAAAAGATGGGGGATTCAAATCCAAAACTATGTCTCCCTGAAGGGAGGCTTAGCTATTGCTTACATATACTATTTCATCAATTACATGTTGATTTTTTTCCTTGGCAGTTGTCTACATTTATCTGGTTAGGTTCCTGTCAGGTTCATACTGTTTACAGCAAAATACTGTGTTACATTTTAACCATTAGCAAAAATAGCATTTAGTAAGAACCAGACCTTGATACCCCTGTCCTATCTAACACAACTGCAAGGGAGGCTGGGAAATATATAATTTCTACCTGGGTGGCACATGCTGTGTTAAAATTCATTTAACAAAGAATGTGGGGAAATGGATTGGGGATTAATGATCCCTCTGCCAAAAGTGGAAGTGGATATAAGTTGGTTCATGTAATGGAAAAATTCAGGACCTCAGGTCCAGCTTGACCCAGGATTTCAAAGTGTCACCAAAGCTGAGTTTCTCTCCATCTCTTGAACCTGGTTCCTCTGTATTGACTTCATGCTCAAAACAGCTTTGTCTTCTGGGACTGCAGAGGCTGAATTTTATCAGGCACTCATCGCTAGAGAGGATATTTGCCATTACACCCTAACCCCTGAATTACAAGATTCTTTCCACTGGGTGTGGCTCAGGCTGTTTGCCCATCTTGGCTCAATCTTGTGGCCAGGTAAACTCATCATGCTGTATATTGAATTAAGTGAGTCAGAACTCTCATACTTTGCTGAAATAAGAAATACAGCTGACCCACAGCTTTTCTTTTCCTGATGTGTTTGGGAGAAGAGAGTTTTGGTGAACCTTTTCTAGCTTAACAAAGAAAATTTCCAAGTATTTCTTTCAGAAAACAAGCATCACTTCAAATTTTAACAGTGCAATAGCTAAATATGACAACTAATCAAAATGACAGACTTAGAAGGTACAGGTTGGTCTCACCAGGCATAGCAACAACCTCTGTAGTCTTGTTACTGGACACGGACTGGACCAAAGGATTCTGCCTCCAGCAAGCCTGTACTGTGTGGGTTCTTGACGTTATGTAGGAAAGATTTTACAATATGAGTCCAGATGATTTTGAGAGTACATTTACTAAAGCTGGGGACGGTGAAACAAAGGGTGGATTTAGGGTAGAAGGAGTAACCGGAGAATAACAGGACAGAGGCTAGGCAGTGCTCTGCTTTGGCTCCCTAGAAATGTTATAGGAAAGGAGTGAGCCAAGGTGGGGCTGCTGTTATCTAACTGGGAAGTCAGAGAAAGGGGCCTCAGAGACAGGATCAGGGGATAAGCCTGGGATGAGCTGTCATTGCCTGCTGCTCCCCTGGCTGCAAGTTTCAAGGGAACCCTTAGAGTCTAGGAGGAAGTAAAATGTTCATGCCCAAGAAGGGGCATTGGCATGCAGTACAGCAAGCCTGCAATGAATCTTTGTCCTGAGGGCTTTTTATTCTTTTCCTGGGGGTGAGAATCTTAGGGGAGGGTTTGGGATTAATTTTTAGTCTGCTATACTGTTTTACTTTATTTTGGGTCTGCCTGGTGTTTAATAAGGTTTTTGTTATTTGTTCCCCTGACTTCATCTGTGCTTGGGTTTAGCTGGCACAAATGGAATTAATTGAGTCTCTGTTCTCTATCTCCCCAACCAGAGTGATTTAAGCTATGTATTCCTTGGTCAGGGAGGAGAGGTGTAAATCATTCGCTCTCTAGTGTCCTACATGAGGGGAGATAAGGTCTTGCAATTCACCACAAGCTGGCTGTACACTGTTCAAACTGTTTGGCCTTGTATAATTTTCTTGTCCCAGTTTCCCCACTCCATTTGCCCAGGAATTTTCCTAGCTTTTTATTGTCCTGTTATAGTCTGAGTGGATTACCAGACAATTTTAGAAGTAACGTTTTCAAGGACATCCTAATGATGCTGAATAGGGTAGAAGTGAGAATGTTCATGTTCTTCTTAACTTGGTAAAATTTCCCTCAGCAGCAGAGCTTAGAGTTTTGCTTGGATTTCTACTCTTTATTGGAAAATTTAGTGGAAGTTTTCACTTTTTAGTAGAAAATTTTAATCAGACACAAAAGTAGACAGAATAGTATCATGAACCCAGCTTCAATAATTATCAACATTTTGCCTTTTTTATTTTTTTGACCCACCAATTTTTTTTTCCTGGAGTGTTTTAAAGACAATTACCAGTCATCATACCATTCCACCTGTAAATTCTTGAAATACTTGAGGAAGTATTTCTAACATGAGGACTTTTAAAAAATAAAACCACCATGCTATTATAATACCCAGAAAAAAAATAGCAATAACTCTTTAATATTATCTAATCTGGTCATAGTCAATTTCCTCCAATTATTAAAAAAGGTCTTTTAAAGTTGGTTTGTTTGAATCAGATGCAATACATTGCATTTGGTTGTTAAGTCTCTTACAGCCCTTTTCAACTGTAAGTCTGCTTCCTGCTACTGTGCTCCTGTCCCCTACAAACCACCTTTTTTCAGGCATTTTAAGAAATAACGCCCTGGCTGGTGTGGCTCAGTGGATTGAACGCTGGTCTGCAAACCAAAGGGTTGCCGGTTCGATTCCCAGTTGGGGCCTGGGTTGCAGGCTGGGTCCCCAGTAAGGGGTGTGTGAGAGGCACCACACATTGATGTTTCTCTCCCTCTCTTTCTTCCTCCCTTACCTTCTATATAAAAATAAATAAAATCTTAGGAAAGAAAGAAAGAAAGAAAGAAAGAAAGAAAGAAAGAAAGAAAGAAAGAAAGAAAGAAAGAAAGAAAGAAAGAAAGAAAGAAAGAAAGAAAGAAAGAAAGAAAGAAAGAAAGAAAGAAAGAAAGAAAGAAAGAACGAGCACAGGACTTTTGTCCTAAAATTATTTGGCTGCTTGCTTCTTCATGGAATCAATTCACTTGTTCATCTGGCCTTGTGTCAGCTCAGGCTGTCATAGTAAGGTACCACAGACTGGATCTCTTAAACAATAAAAATGTATATTCTTATAGTCTAGGGGCTGGAAATTTCAAGTGTCAGCATGGTTGGTTTCTGGCAACACCTCTCTCTGTGGTCTGCAAAAAGTGACTTCTCACTGTGTCCTCACTTGGCCTTTTTTCTGTGTGCTTGAGTAGAAAGGGATCTCTGGGATAAGAAGAGAAAGAGTGGCCCTTCCTCTTCTTATAAGAACACCAGTCTAATAGGATTACGGTCCCACCCTTATGATGTCATTGGACCTTAATTATCTCCTTAAAGGTCCTATCTCCAAATACAGTCACATTGAGGGGTTAGGGCTTTAACACATAAACTAGGGAGGGAACACAATTAGTCCATAACATCCCATATTGCCAATAAACTGGTAGCGAGCTCTAGAAGCTTGATTAAATTTAGATTCAATCTTTTAGGCAAAAACCTTTCATTGGTGGTGCTTTCCCACTGTTGGTGATATTGCCAATTTGTTGGTGATATTGTTAGTGAGCAGTGATTTCAGGTAGTGTCAGCCTGACAGCCAATTGTGTTCATGGTAGAATAGGATTATTCAAAATGTACTTGGGCCCTGGCTGGTGTGGCTCAGTGGATTGAGCACCAGCCTGCAAACCAAGGGGTCGCTGGCTTGATTCCCAGTCAGTACACATGCCTGGATTGTGGGCCCGGTTCCGCTGTAGGGGGCACGTGAAAGGCAACCACACATTGATGTTTCTCTCCCTCTCTTTCTCCCTCCTTTCCCCTCTGAGAATAAATAAGTAAAATCTCTAAAAAATAATTGTTTGGGCCAAGCATGGGATCTTTTGAATCCAACCCTAAGGGACCTGGGGAACAGGGACTGCTTAGCACCATTGAATACACTGTGCACTCTTTAAATATAGGGAGCACACAAAGCTCCAGGCTCCTGCCTAGGTCCTGCTTTCCTGGTTCATGTTGGGGAAGTTTGGACACTAAGGTTCTACAGGATGAGTAGGGAGGGCACCTCGGAGGCAGCTGTATATATCTATCCCAAGAAGTTGTCAGAGCAGGAGCCTCCCCCCATGGCAGGATGTGGGGGCTGAGGCCAAGGCCACCTGCTCACCACTGGCTCTGCTCCTCTGCAGTTGAGCATTGACAGCTGCTGGGTAGGCTCCTTCTACTGCCCCCAGGCCAGCTTCACCGCCACCATCTACGATGCCATCGCCACAGAGAGCACCCTCTTCATTCGGCAGAACCAGCTTGTCTACTATTTTACAGGCACCTATATCACACTCCACGAGGGCAACCATGGCAGTGGTGAGGGGGTTGTGCCAGGTCACATGCCTGGGGGTTTGTGGCATCTTGGGCAAGGGGACTGCCCATTGGAGCTTCAGGCATTGCCTGAGTGAACCCATCTACTGTGGTACCTGGGGTTGGAATTGCTATGGGTGGGGAAGGGGTGTTGGAGGGACTCTCCAAGGTCCTGAATCATCCTGCCCACCCTGGAGGGCCTTCTCCAACACTCTCTGTGTTGGGGTGAGGCCTTCATCCAGACCTTCCCAGGAACTGTGAACAGTCTGAAGGAACTAGGAGGGGTGAGAGTGAAGGGAAGCAGCAGAGAGACAGACAAATTCTTACACGAGAACATGCACATACACTCAAATAGACATTAGAGTGTCAGAAAGACAGAGAAAGGCTTACTGAGAGAGGCATATTAAAATAGCAATTGGGAGTGGGGTGGGGAGAGGCATAGGAGAAAAACAGAAGTGGGGAGAGAGAGAGAGCTGGAGAGAGAGAGATGGGCTGTTGGAGAGGCAAAGCCATGAGGGAGACTGATCAGAGAGGAAAAGGAAAGACTTTTGACTCAGCTTCATCATTTACATGATACCAAAGCTCCCCTAGTTCTTCTAGGTTTTTCCCCCCAATCCAAATGAGAGACGTCATTTAGACATAGGGTCACTTGGACTTACACAGTCACAGAAACTTGTTACCTATATTTCATTTGTTAACACACGTTCTCAACAGTTCATTTTTCTTCCTTTCTTACTTAGGGCACTTGGAGAGCAGGAGGAACCAAATTAAAATGGGCTCAAGTTAAAACAAAGGGGGGGTTATCTTTTGACTTAGCTGAAAAACTCAGGAACATGTTGGTTTCAGGCATAGTTGGATCTAGATGCTCACTGTAGCTGTTAGCCTCCTATGGTGGCTATGGTGACCCTGTGTTCACCCAACAACTGCAGACTTTTATATCCTCAGGGGCCCCATGGAAGAGCATCTCTTTGTTAATGGTTGCAAGTTGGGACTGTCTCTAATTTGCCCTGTTTGGTCACATGCCCAGTTCAGAACCAGTTGCTCTGGCCAGGGGAATGGAAGGGTAGGATCAAGCCTAAACTGAACCTCATGGACAGAATGTAAGCCAGGGGGATTTCCTCAAAGGCAACTCGGTCCCTGTGCCAAGGGTTCCTCAGTCACCACACTGAGCAGCTGCTCCAGGGGGAGGGAACAATAACAGGCTCACTAAGGCCAGGGAAATGTGGGTGTGAGCCCAGGTCCACATGCCTAGGCCTGAGGCTGCATGTTGGCCCCACAGAGAGCTGGGTACGTGTACTGCCCAACGAGTGCATCAAGAAGCTGTGCCCCGTGCATTTTCACAGTAATGGCTCCGAGTACATCATGGCCCTCACCGTTGGGAAGCACGAAGGTTATGTCCACTTTGGGACCATCACTGGTAAGGGTGGGGCCTCTGGCAGCCCAAGAGACTTCTCCATGCCCTCCCACTTCCAAGAATTCTGACCTTTGGCTCTCCCCCTTCACCATGTGCCTTCAGAAGGGGTCTCATGCTGGAGGTTGGCCCTGTGAGTGGGGATGGGTTTAGACATTTGTAGTGATAGTGCTTGGGGTGTATTATGTGTCTTGCATGATGTGTTTGATTTCAATCGGCAGAAGCACAAATCAAAATTCATTTAGACATAAAGAATTTGTGGACTTACAAATGAAAACAAAAGGCACCAACCTCAAGCATGGCTGGATCCAAGGGCTTACAAGATATATCATCAAGACTCTATCTCTTGATAAGATAGTATAGCATAGTGATTATGGCACTGTTGTGGAGAGAGACTGCTCCGACACACCCAACCCAAGTCACTGTGGTTTTGGATAGGTTCCTTAACCTCTCTTTTTGACCTCATTTTCTCATCAGGAAAATGGGGTTAATGATACTATTAGTACCTGTCTCACTGTGTTGGTATAAAGATTAAATAAGTTGGCATCTGTAAAGGTCTTAGAACAATGATAGGGACATGCGTGCTAGAAAAGGGTTAATTATTATGAGCCCTGTGATTTAGCTTCATTTTTAGGGAGCTGCTCCTCCTCAGAGGTTTAGGATGGCTCCCAGGAGCTCAAGGGTCATCTTTCACCAGCTTGAATGATCCCATGAGAATAAGAACAGCCTCTTCCCTATTAGCACTAGAATGAATCCCAGGTGCACTCTGATTGGCTGATTCTAGGTCATGTTCCTGGGCCTGAGATAATTTCTGTGACCAGAGAGAGAAAGACATACTCTGATAGGACGTGTGTGACTGAAAGGCCAGACCGTGAGACCCGTCCCCTGGAATCTGCAGGCTTAAGGAGGGGGGTGGGGCACAGGCATTCCACTACTGTGGGGTGCCTGTTGGGCTGGGAATGGGAAGGGCCTGAGCATGGACCTGCCCTTCTCTGCAGATGGCCATGTGTCCTTCAAGATGCTGCCCAGGAAACAGTCTGTGTGTGAAAGGATACAAGGTACCCATCTGCCAGATGGACCTGCGATAAGTATATGTGGGGATCTAGGGTATGGGAGAGTAGGGAAGGGTGGGAAAGGTCATGGGAAAGGACAGGCAATGTCTTGGGGAGAGGTGCAGAGTTACAGAGGTGGGATGGGGGTGGCAATCACAGAAAGGAATGAGGTGATGTAGAGGGGCTGGATCAGGGGCTGCTGTGGAACTCCCCCTTCCCGTCCAGTTGTCGTCTGCTCCGTAACCTGGGCCGTATACATTGAGGGTGGCTACAATCTACTGCTGCTAGTGGAGACTGAAGACAATGGTGCCAGGAAGAATTTCCTGGTGGTCAGCTACAACCTGGGTAATTGGGGCACTACAGGTGGGGAAGTTGAGTACACAGCAGACAATGGGAGGAGATACTGCTCATGCCATTCCTGGATAAGGGGTAGTGGTGGAGAACAGGCTTGGTGGGCTGGAGAAACTGAGAGGAAGTCAATGTGACTGGAACAGAGCGGAAAAGAGAAGGGGGGGATTAAAGAGGTGAGGAAAAACCAGATCTGGAAGGGCCTATGGCTCACAATCAGGAGATTTGTTTTTACTCTACTGGAACTGAGAATAGGGCTGCCATGTGCAGTTATATAGGCTGTGCACTGCGCTCCCCAGCCAAGGAGCCAGAGAAGGCAAGTTCTGTGCCCTAACAGGACTGTATCATCTCAGATGCAGTACCTTTTTATAATTCACATAAAGAAACAATAAGAGCCACAAGGCCCAAATGGGAAGCCCTTGGAGGGCTTTTGGGAAGGATTGGGAAGCTGGTGACTTGCCCAGTTTCAGGTACTTGAGAGCTTGAGGCCTCAGGAGATTCTGTTGTGTTCTCTTCACCTGAAGTCACTGATTCCCTGGAAGTTGTCTACACCATCCCGAAATTCATTCCTGATGGTAGGAGGAGCAGGCAGAGGGGACCTCAAAGGTGGGTCGGGGCCAGGACAGGACCACACCTCACTGCTGTGTCCACTCTGCTTCTGCCTTGGCCAGCACGAGGCCTGGAGTTCCTGATGATCCTAGGGACAGAATCGTATACCAGCTTCCCAATGGTGCCCAAGGGCATGTCCTACAACCCATTTAACAGCCTGATGTTCATCTGGGGAAACTTTCTCCTGCAGAGGTAGGAAGTTGTGTGTATTCTGCTTCCCCAGCGCCATCAGGGTGGGGGCCCTTTCTGAAGTCACCAAGTTTCCAGTTTGCCCACGTCCAGGAGTTATGAGGACTATGATGGGGAAAACACAGGCTGGGTTGGTGAGGATTAGGATGGGGGACACTATGGGAATCTGATGTGAGGTCCCAACCTATGTGGGCAATAGACAGCACTGTCTGGGGAAGTTTAGGGCACTTTCACTCCTCAGGAAAGTAGGGGCCCCTGAGCCAACTCCATGGGCTATTGTCAAAGTGCCAGGTTGGCGAATGCTCCTGTTGACAGATGGGCAGGTCACCCAGAGGGTTTGGAGTCAGGGGCAGAAAAAAGTTAGTGTCCCAGCCTTCCTTTGCATGTTCTCACAAGGCTAGTGGAAAAGTGAGAAAACTCCTGTCTCATGTTCAGCCCAGAGTTGGGGGAAGCAGATATCCTCCAGGGGCCTTGCCTGGGAGACCCTAGCTTCCATCTCTACCCCTGCAGCTATGACAATGAAAACTTCATCTACCTGGCAGACTTCCCCAAGGAGCTGTCCATCAAGTATCTGGTCAACTCGTTCCATGGGGACATAGCTGTTGTCACAGAGACGGAGGAGGTGGGCTGCCCTGCCCGTCTCCCCACTTTGTCTCTGCCTATGCCAAACCCTGGAGATTTCCCTTCTTCTCCTGTCCGGGTAAAGAGGCCAAACAGAAGCTGGTGTACCTTGTAAACAACCCTTGGGGACTGTGGAGAAGGGCAGCAGAAGCTGCCTTTATAGCAGAGAACCCTGGAACTCAAAGAGGCTAAGTGTCTTCTAGAGTCCCTCAGCAGAGAGAAACACCTGTGCTCAGAGTTTTATGCTCTGATTTCCAGGGCAGGGGGTGGGGGGCACTTTGGTTTCATCATGCAGGTGTTCCTTTCATAAACAGGGGGCACTTCCTGGATGACCCAGTGCTGGGAACACAGTGGCCCTCCCAGGGTGACAGGTCTGTTGGGAGGGCAGATTCATTCCCAGACAGTGACGGTTGAGAGTAGTCAGTCTGCAGCAGGGAAATCAGTACCCGTGGATGTTCAGAGAAGGGGCCTGACCCAATCTGGGTGTTTATATGTCAGGAAGGGCCTCACAGAGGAGGCCACATAGGGAGGGGGCATCCTGGAGGCTGGAGGGGATCCTCCAGGCTGAGGCTACGGAGGCGGTGAGGTCTACAGTCAAATGTGCTGGGGAAGTGGTGGGCATCAGTGCAGAGATGGGAAACTAATGAGGCCAAGGGAATGGTGAGATCCTTGAAGGTGCAAAGAGTGAGAAGGAATAAAGCTTGACCCTAGGGACCCCAGTCATTAGGGGGTGTATGTATTAGGAATGCTTATCTTGCAAGTAATAGAAACACAAGCAGATTGAAACACTGAAGAACTTTATCATGGCAAATGGGGGCTGGAAGCAGAGGTGGTAGGTTCTGGGAAGCAGAGACTTGGCACTACAGAGAAAAGGGATATAAGCTCATCCGTCCCAGCTGGAGGTGAGCACCCAAGCCTCAACCCTCAAGGAATGGGACCATCACAGTCTGCAGAGGAGGAGAGGGGTCAGAGGTCTCCATGGCCCTCACATGCACCTGGCTGTTGCCCCCTAGATCTGGTACCTCCTGGAGGGCAGCTATCGGGTGTACAAGCTGTTCCCCTCCGAGGGCTGGGAGGTGTATGTCAGCCTACAAGTGATGCATCAGTCCTCTCTCTACGCTCCCAGTGAGACCATGGTCACCCTCTTCTATGAAGACAGCAGTTTGTACCAGGTGCCAGGCAGGGGCTGTGGGGAGACATGAGGGAGTGGTAGGGTAGCTTACACCAGCTCACCTGGCTCTGCTTTCCCACTGCAGCTGGTGTACCTTGTAAACAACCATCATCAGGGCCAGCTCGTCAAGAGGCTTGTGCCTGTGGAACAACTCCTCATGTACCAACAGCTCAGCAGCCGATACCTCTTGCCACGGCAAAGGTGAGAAGATAGTGGATGAACTACAGCAGTAGTCAGAGAGTCATAAGCACTTCCCTCACAAAGCTCCCATTCTGGAGGTGGTGGGAGGGAGATCAAGCCATCCCTAACTGATGACCTCAGGGCTATGATGGAGGAGGCCACGGCCAATGGAAGCTCGAAGGAGGGGCCTAGCCTGGTCTGGGGAGAGGGAGCAGCAAGGAGGGCTTCAAGGAGGAAGATGTTAATGACAGTGACCTTAAGAGTGAGGAAGCATTGGCCAGGTACTAAGACAGAGAAAGGTGTTCCAGACAGGAGAGCCAATTGTGCAAAGGCACTGAGGAAGGAAGGAGATTGGGTGTTTGAGAACTGAGAGAAAGCACAGTAGTGGTGGCAGGGCAGGCAAGGTCAGCCAATGGTCATAGGGAGGAACTTGCGCTTCATCTTGAGGGCCCTGGGGAGCCAAGATGGGATTAAGGGGAGGGACTATCTGGTCAGATTTTACCGTGTTTAATAATAATCTTTCTGGTCACCTACAGAAGAGCCCAGGGAGTTGGGGTGAAGGAAGGGGGAGGTGGAAGGACTGTTAGGAAGGGGGAGGAGAGGCTAGGATGAGGTCCAAAACAGGTCTGAGGGACCCAGGGACATCCAGGCGAATGTGTCCTGGGGCACCCGGGGCACCACAGGCTGAGGCTGAGGAGGAAGGTCAGGGTAGGATTACATTTGGGGAGGCTCCTGGGGCACAGGACTGGGAAAAGTAGGCCGCCAATCCCCACTACCACCGCCCAGGAGTCACTCGAAGCTCTCCTTCACCAACTTCTGCCCCTTCACGGTGATGCGCCTGAGAGACCTGCCCAACCCGCAGATCTACACGCGCCAGGAGCGCTACAGGGCGAAGCCGCCGCGCGTCTTGGAGCCCTCCGGCTTCCACACCAAGAACTCGCTAGCTGTCTATCAGGGCCTCGTCTACTACCTGCTCTGGTTGCAGTCCAAGTACGACAAGGTGGGCGCCAGGTATCAGGGGATGTCCCAGTCCGGGGCTTTTCTGCGACGGGACTGCGGAGGCACAAAAAGCTGGCTAGGCCCGGGGGTGGGGGGGCGGGGGGGGGCGGGGGGGCGAGGGCGGGGGGCGGGGCTGGAAAAACCACTGTGGAGGGGAACACAGCGGCGCCGCCTAGAGGCTAAGGCCAATCTGGGACTGGCGTAAGGACTTCAGCAGGGCTGTGGGAGACAGCAGGACGGGCCAGGGTATGATCTTTCGCTTTGGTTTAGGGGCTGGGACTGAGGGACTAAGGCCGGGAAGGGGTCTGGTAATGTCGCCTGCCTACAGATGCGTTCTCCACCCTCTTGTCCCACTGCTCCCCCCCCCCCCCCCCATCGCTTTCGCCCCCGCCCCCGCTCCGTGTCACGCTGCTGGCGGTCTCTGCAGCCTTACGCAGACCCGGTGCACGACTCCACCTGGCGCTGGTGGAAGAACAAGAAACAGGACCAGGTGCATGGAGAGGGTTTCGAGGCGGGGGAAGGGCGACCCCGGACACCGCTGCGCGCCTTGCACCTTTCCTCACTCAGAGCACTGACTGGGCCCTGCCTCCCATGCCCCAGGACTACTACTACTACCTGGCGAGCACCTGGCAAAGTGCGGGTAATGTGCACATTGACATGGCCAACTACAAAAAGATCTACGACCTCAAGGCCGAGTACCAGCTACCCGAGCGCATCTTCCTGGATAAGGGCACCAGCTACCGCTTCTCCATCTTCCTGACCGCCCGGGGCCACTCGTTCAAGTCGAGGCCTGAGCCTGGTCTGTGGGCAGGGCCTGCGGTGGGGATGGGTGGGATCTGGGTACCATCCCAGGGGGCGGATCTGGCCCTAATGTCTCCAGTGCTTCGGGCAGGCAACATCTTCCAGCTCCAGAGCCAGGTGGACCTAGGCGTGGTGCTGTCCGACCCAGACTGCACTGAGGTGGTGGTGAAGCAGAAGGTCCTTATTAATCGCAACTCAGTGCTTTTCTGGGTAAGACCAGGTGGTGTGGAGGTGCAGGGGTAGATCTACCCGGGCAGTGGACCTGTTGGAAGTTGATGGTTTCTTGAACCATCCGTGGATCCTCGGGTATGCCTGCTGACCCCTCCTTCATTTTTGCTCCCACCCCTAGATTACGCTCAGTGATAAAAGTTTTTGCTTTGACCAGGGCATTAGTGGACATAATCTCATGAAGACCTCCATGCTGGTCAAGGTGCAGTCCAAACTTGGAGGGGAGGGAAGCAGGGTGAGGGGAAAGACTGGGCCTGTGGAACCCACCTGCATCACCTGCTCCTATCCATAGGTTGTGGGGTCGGCTGGGCACTGCTTCCAGAACACGGACCAGGGGACCCGCATGCAAGTATTGGACCTTGGGGTACTGGGCCCTGTGCTGGGAGGGAAAGGTTTGGGTGTAGTCTTCGTGTGCTCTCCTGGGAGCCCCACCCACTCACTCACTTCTTTTATCCATTCCTGTTTTCAGAAAGGGCTGCCTTTTCAGTGATATAGATTGCATCCAAGCTTGTGTGTTTCTTCTGATACTTTTCTGCAGGAGGAAGTGAAATATCCGTGACATGGGCTTCCTTTTCCAATTGGCACAAAGGCACCACGTGGGTCAGCTTGGCACTTTTCCCACATGCCATTCTTCATTTGCCCATTCACATGGGCTTTGTTCACTCCTGTGCATCCTTGGTTCTTTGCTTGCTTGCACGTGCAATATTCCCTTTGCACAGAGGCAGACACTGAGGCTCAGAGAGGTGCAAGCATCTACTCAGAATAACCCCGGGAGCTAATAAGTGGTAGAGGAGGGACCTAACCCAGAGGCCTTGTTCTCACCCATTTCCCTGCCCACTAATCTGCAGACAGACCCAGGTGCTCCTCCCTCCTGGCTTGGTGTGAGCCAGGGCAGTAAAAATGGGGGTTGTAACAGTCCCAACAGCTTGGATTACATAAAATAATCCAGGTCAAGTGAAGGGTAGAGTGACTCACTTCAGGCTACATAAGTGTTTTCTGCTGTGCTTAGTAATACGCATTATTTTCCTCTTTATTATAACCCCAGAAGGTCAAAGTTAACACCCCCATTTTGACCTGACAGATTCCTTCTGGGAATTCAATCTATAACACACAGCAAAAGGTAAAAAACAACCTAAACGAATAGAGGAGTGATTAAATAAATTATGGTGCGTCCATGCAATGGAAAACTATGTGGCTAGAAAGAAAGATCTCCATATACTAATGTGGAATGGTCTCCAAAGTGTATTTTATTCTTAAGAGAAAAAAGCAGGGTAAACAACATTGTATGCAAAATACCAGCATGAAAAAGATTCATTGAAAATATATATTCATGTTTGCTTTTATTTGCGTAAGGAAGAAACTTTGGGAAAATGGACAAAAAATACTCAGGGTGGTTCTCTACTTGGGATGAAGGAGAGGCAGGACAATTGGAGGATGGGAATAGAAGTGAAACTTTTCACTGCGTGTGCACACGAGTATGTATCTCCATATATCCATTTGTGACCATGTTATCCATCTAAAAATTAAGTTCTAAAGAAGCCAATGATTAAGAAAAACCAGACAGGGAAACAGAGATACTGAAGGTAGTCTGAGGTTCTCTTTCTTTGTATTCTCAGGCTGGGGCCTGCCAGGTTTCCAGTCCCTCTCTCCCCACCCCTTCATTACCAGATCAGGAGGTATGTGTATTTAGACAGCCTAGAGCTCCTCTCTGGCTTCCCATCCTGGAAAAAATAGAAACTGGAACTAATTGATAGACAGTAGGTTCTCAATTTGTAAGTATATTGGGTGAAGGAAGAAATGAGTTTACATGTAATAGGTGCTCAGTCAAATTCGGTTAGGTGAATAAAGGCTTGGAGTGTTCCGTAACAGGCCAACTCCAAAGATGGACCTCCAAGGGGAATGGGGCTTGGGCCAGGGTCAGGGGATAAACCAGGAGCAGGTTTCACTCCCTGTGCCCAAAGCTTATTCATTAATTCAACCAATATTTTTTGAGTGCCTGCTACATGCCAGCATTGTTTTAGGTGCTAGAATTTGAGCAGTGAACAAACTAGGCAAGTTCTGTCCTTGTGAAGCTGATATTCTAGTGAGCAGAGTGTATTCATTTCTAGGACTGCCATAACCCCCAAAGACTAAGAAGTTGACTCTCTCCCAGTTATGGAGGCCAGAAGTTTAAAATCAGGATTGGTCCACCTGCAGGTTCTCAAGGAAAATCTGTTACAGGCCTCTCTCCTGGGCTCTGGTGGTTGGTGACAATCCTTGAAATTTCTTAGCTTATAGATGCATCATTTGAGTCTCTGCCTTTATCTTTACAAGGCCTTCTCCCTGTGTGTGTGTCCAAATTTCCATCTTCTTATAAGGACATTAGTCATTGGATTAAGATCCAGCCTAATCCAGTATGACCTCATCTTAACTTGATTACACCTATAAAGACCCTAGTCCAATTAGGTCACGTTGGCAGGTACCATGGGATTAGGACTTCAATATATCTTTGGGATACATAATTCAACCCAGAACTGAGTGAGACAATAAGCAAGATAAATAAGATAGTGTGTGTTAAGAAGTGATGAGTGCTAGGGGGATAAAGGCAGGCAAGGGTCATGGGGTAGGTCAGCATTTGCCATTGGATGGTTCAGTGAAGGCCTGGTGGAGAAGGAAACATTTGAGCAAAGACTTGAGGGAGGGGAGGAAGTGAGCTATGTGGCTATGTGCTAAAAAGGCATTTCAGTGAGAGGGAACAGAGGATAGAAAGGTAGAAAGGGCTGGAAGCAGGAGTATGTTTCATCTGTTAGAGTAAGGGAACATGGATGGGCAAGTGCGGCTGGATCAGGGTGAGCAAGGAGGAACGTGGTGAGAAATGAGGTGAAAGTGGTGATCCTTTGTGATCGCCTGAGGCCTAGTGGGCAGTGGTGAGCAAGATCATACTAGGGGAGGGCTCTGAGCATAGGAGTGACTGGTGGTTCACAGGGTCCCTTTGGCTGCATGTGAGGAACATATGGGCAATGTTTGGCAGGGGAGACTAGGGAGGAAACAAGGTTAGGCAGGCAAGAGTGGAGCAAAGGAGTTGAGGGGTGAAGGAGAGAATGGCTCTATTTTGAAGTCTAGAGACACAGGCTATCCGAGTGGACTGGATGTAGGGGTGTGAGAAAGAGGTTTCCAGGATGAGGCCAAGGCTTTTAGCCTGAACATAGAGGGATGAGGTGCCATTAGCTGAGACGGGTTGTGGATACATTGAATTGGAGATGCCCATTAGACTCCCAGTGAGTGAGTGGCTGATAGGTATAATCTTTGGCCCAGGTCTAGCAAGAGAAGTGCTTAATCTATGGCTACCAACTCCTTTCCACGGTCACCATCAGGCCCAGACCAGATTCTGGATGCCCATCCATGTCTGAATGTCCTTTGACAAATGGGTCAGGGGTTGTTCATTCTGAAGACAATGTCATGGGTTCCCTGACCGCTTATCTTCCATCCCGACTGCACTTTGCTTATACATCTCATGCTCCTCCAGATCAATTGTTTGAAAATTCACGCTCAACCCCAGCCCTATAAAGTCTGACTAGGAGGTGGCGGCTGCATAGGTGTAGGTGTTATTGGTTTTGTATGCCTTTTTCTGCAGACAGCTGGAAGCTACCTGGCCCAGTTTGGGTCCCAGCTCTACCACTTAACACCTCTCTGGCTTTGGATAATAAATAAGGTGCTTGATCTCTCTGTGCCTCACTTTGCCATCTCTAAAATGGAAATATTAATAGTCCCTGCCATGCAAGGCTGTTTGGAGAGTCTAGTGAATTTGAAAATGTAAGGTGCTCAGAACATCAGTGCCTTGCACACAGTGAAAGCTACATAAGTAATTGCAGTTATTAAAGTCCTGTTTTAAGGAAAATAATGATCAGATTGCACCCTGACGAAGGTGAGCCTGGAAAGTAGTGATGGTGTCTGTGGGAGGAGGGGTGTCCTCCCCTTCTCATTTCCCAGGTGAGGCTTTTTCCTCCCACTCAGGGTAACCTGATGGTGCCAGTGCTTATCGGCTGCCCACCCGGCAAGCGCCTGGCCTTTGACATCACCTACACTCTGGCGTACAACCGCTTACAAAACAAACACTTCTTCGACTGCATTCAGGTGGATCCTGAGATGCCCTGCTTCCTCTTCCGTGACAGTGCGTGTCCAGTCCCCTTCTCTACATTGTTCATTGTCCTGTGCCCCACCACTTTGCCCTCCCTGCCATTCCTCCCTGACGGCTTACCTCCCTACCCACTCTCTACTCTTCCTCTGGGTCCCCCCTCTTTTCTCCCCTCACCATCCTCCACATCTCAAGCTAAGCTAATTTCTCCTCCTCCTGGCCTCACACTTCTCCCACCCCACAGTGTTCTACCCCTTCTTCTTGATCCAAGATTTGGTGACAGGAGACTCTGGTAGTTTTCAGGGCAGGTAAAGGCATGGCCAAGCCAGTGGCTGATGGGAGAGGGTAGGAGGGTAGGTGGGGTAGATGTGACACAGGACTGAAGACGCTGAGGCTGGTTTGTGTGCACCTCTGCTCCCGGCAGCTATGTTCTGAAGGTGGTGGGCGGCGGGCCTACCCTGGACACCATCAAAGAATACAGCGAGGAAGAGATTTACCGCTTCAACAGCCCTCTGGACAAGTAATTGGGCCTTCCTTCCCCTGCAGACCATTTCCTAGCCACAGACCTCCCACTCGCAGCAAGCCCCACCTACCTGGGTATCTCAGGCCCCACCCACAGCAAGGCTTCTAGGGGCCCACAAACTCTTGTCCTGCTAAAGGCTCCAGCCCCGACCTCCCACTGTTCCCACTGCTGGCCACCTTCTGCATCAGTCTGAGGCCGATGCCCTGGCCTCACTGAGGTTCTGAGTCCTCTACTGAGTTTACAGTGGTCCTCCACAGCTCTGACAGCCTCATCTGGACCACCAAGAACACAACAACCAAGGATTCAGCCTTCAGCATTCTGTCCCACCAGAGCTTGGGCATTGAGTAAGTGCACACCCTGGCCACTGGCCTCCTTATCACCTACCTGCCCACAAGCTGTTGGACCTGTCCATTCCTTCTGCTTATGTGAGACTGCTTGATCCTAAGCCATGCAGACCACCTTTGTGTTCCTCAAATGGGGCTGACATTGACATAAGGTAGACCCTCTACCTGCAGTGCTGGTCCCTCTTACTTTTTCTTCAGGTCTTAGTTCAGATGCCTCTTCATCTAGGACGATTTTTCTGACTGTTCCAGTTGGGAAAGTTGGCTCCTATCCTCCTGTGTTACCCCACCCCAGCCTTGACCCCTCTGCCTATTATCCCACCCCAGCCTTGACCCCTCTGCCTATGCCCCCATCCCAACACTGATCCCATTCCTGCCTCCTATGGGGTCTGTCTCCCTTATAAGTCTAGATTCTCAATAAACTCAACATAGTATTTGTGGAATGAGACAATGAACAAATTGATGAATTCATAGTAGGCATTACTGACATATGAATGGAGGTCTTAATGATGAATAAAAACAATGAAGGAACAGATTAGTACATAGCGGCTCAATTACTATTTTTGATTCATTGAAAAGAAGAAGATTATACCATGAGCAAATGACAAATGTGAGTGAATGAACAAAGTAACCAGTTTGCACCTACTCAGCATTCAACCTGTTTGTTGAATAAATGAATGAAGATGTAACTTTGTATGAGTAGGTGCTGAAGCTGTATTTGTGGGATAAAGGAATCAAAGCAGCAAGGAATAAATGGGGAGTTGGCACATAGCAGGGATATAATCTGTAATCTAGATGAATGGATAGTAATGGAGGAATTGACAGATGGATGTGAAAAAGCAGGAGGAAATGAATGAGCAAATGGCTCGGGGAGGAGTGGGGGGATGGTCTATCACTGGCTAGGCATTCAGAAGTCTTCTTAGATGAAAGAACAAAGGATTGAATCAGGGATGAAAGTATAAAGTGGTACTTAGTTGGTGCTCACCCAGTTTTGGGGATGGAGGGAGAAATCAGCAGTTGGCATGTGGCAGGCATGATTTGCTGCATAAGTGCCTGAACGTGGGCCCCCAGGTGGCTGTGTCTGGAGAACTCCCCATGCCATGACGCTGTTCCCCATAGCATCTACACCCCCGAATTCTTCTTCAAGGTGTTGGTGAGCAATAGGTAAGACAAACATATGGCCCAGGTGGGGTCAGGGGCTTCCTGTGGAGTGCATGACTCTTCCCTAATCCTGGACCCCTTCCCCCGACCAGAGGTGTGGACAAGAGCACATACTGTGATTACCAGCTCATCTTCCTGCTGCATATCCATGGGCTTCCACTCAGTGCCAAGAGGGCCTTCTTCATCCTCATGGTGAGTGGCTGCTCAAGAGCTGCCCTGTGGGGTGGAGGTGCTCTGCCAGGCTGCCCATCCATACCTGTTGTGCGGTGCTTGCAGGTGTCAGCCAGCGTGTTTCTCGGCCTAGTGATCCTCTACATCATCATCTGCCTCTTGCTGCCTCTTATGGTTAAGATCTGCAACATCCTTCGCTGGAAGATCAACAACATCATCACCTCAGAATCCTACTACACTTACAGCTCCTCTTCCAGAGACTTCAGCAGCACATCTGAGACCAAATCTAGTGTTGACTCCAAGGTCAGCTCCAACGCAGGAGAGAATAAGGCTGAACCTGATGAAACCATGAAGAAGAAATCACTGACCTGAGACTCCTACCTGCCCCATCCACCCTCATTCCTTACTTCCTGGGCCAACTTGGAAATAAAATATGTCGTCCATCCCAAGCCTTCTCTCTGTTTTGCTTGAATTTTCATTTCTCCTTCAGACCACACAGCCACATAGGTCATTAAAATACCCAAATCCTTCTGTGCCAGCAGGTTAATAGCAGCTTCTCCATGTGCCTGCCAACTCAACTTGTTCCCAGGGAGCTCCAACCTCCCTACAATCCAGTGAGGTCCCCCATGACCCAGGCCCATGGCTATGGCCTGAAGTCTGTTCTGATTGTCCAGTGCCAAGATTTAGTACCAGTCATTAAATATTTTTGGATGTCAACACCTAAATAATGTTGAGCTTAAGAAGGGGATTCTAGAGAGGTTAGGATCTTTATTTTAGTTGCAAGTAGCAAAAACTTCAAATAGTCCAAATGTAAATGATAATATATGGGTTTTGTCCAGATAAGCTTCAGGTATAATTTGATTCAGAAGTCTCCAATATCCATAGGATTCTCACTCCATTTCTCTATAGCTTTCCCTGCTCTGCCCTCTTCTGAGTGTGGTCTCTGACTTCAGGCCAGCCCTCCTCACATTATGATGCTACATGTCCATGCATCTTCTTGTCCAGAGGAAGAAAAGGCTGGAGTCTAACATTTCTAGTCTGTCAATCCTGTTAGTCACTCTGATTGGATGGGGTTGAGTCACAAGCTCATCGCTTTACCACTCACACTGCCAAGGGAATTTGACCTTGAGTGGTTTAAGCCAATCAGAGCCCACCCCTGGATCTAAGGGAGCCAGTGTTATTCTACTATCAGGCTCGCGCACGCATGTGTGTGTATAAGGGCAGTTCTTATAAGGACAATGTGCTATCAAAAATAAAAGGAATCTGAAAGGCAAAAAGCTAATGCACTTTAGTACTCCACTCCCTGTCCATCCAGTGGGTCAACTCCAACTCCTCCCCAAAGTTCTCAAACTGACTATGGAAGTCCTCTGACCACCCCCTCTACTGCTCCACTCTAGAAGTAGAGGTCCAGGGGACATACACTCTGAAGAGACCCTAGGGAGACAGCCAGACCATCTTGTCCATGATGAGACGGCTCCAGGGAAGACAAGGTCCCTGAGGTCATGTTATTGAGCTTGAGAATTATCAGAGGGTATGCAGAGCTGAGAAACTGAAGGATGTGGTCAAATATTGCAAAGATGCCCCTCATTGCCCTGGAGAAAATGTCTCAGAACTGGAGGCAGAGATCCCATGGAGGCAATAGACCAGGAACCTGGGCAGAAGAGGATGGTGCTGGACCACAGACTGGGTGAGGAAGGAGAGGAGAGGGCAGGTGGGAGAGATGCTCAGGAGGCCTAATGAACATGCTGTGGGGATGGTGGGCCATGTAAGGAATGGGAGCAGGGGAGAATTTAGGTAAATGCCCAGGAATCTGCCCTGGGTCTTTGGGGACAAAGAGGCTTTGAGAAGAGGACCAGGGAGAAAGAGCATGTTTAGAAAAGACATTGAAACCAGCTTGGATCATGGTGGGTGCAAGGGTCTGAGAGACTTCTAAAGGCTATCCAGGAGGCTTCAAAAACCTCAAGTCTGGGGCTCAGGAGGGAAATCAGCAATGGTCAAGCAGTATGGAACAATAGCAGTACAGACTCATCTATCAAACAAAAATAAATGCATTGCTGTCATTGTGGATCATGTGGTGAAATAATATTCCATTTTGTTCTGTCCTAGTTTGTTCAGGCTGCTATAACAGAATACCATAGATTTGGTGGCTTACAAACAACAGGAATTTATTTCTCATAGTTTTGGAAGCAGGGAAGTCTAAGATCAAGGTGCTGGCAGATTTTGTATCTAGTGATAATCTGTTTCCCAGTTCACAGATGGCTGTTGTTTTGCTGTATCCTCACATGGTAGAAGGGGTAAGAGAAGTCTTTGGGGGTCTCTTTTCTAAGGGCATTTATCTCAGTTATGAAGGCTCCACCCTCATGACCTAATCACGTCCCAAAAGCCTGATACCATTATATTGGGGGTTAGGTTTAAACATAAATTTAGGGGGGACACAAACATTCAATCCATAACAGATTTCTTTTTTTTTTTTGAATTATTGAGTAATCTTGATGATTTTCTGTCAGGAGAATTGCATCATTATCTCCATCACAGATGATGAAACAGAGGCTCATGTGTGCAAACATGTATGATTATATAAAAAGGTGCCTGAAAAACTTTTTCTAATATTCAACATCCACTCCTTGTATAAATTTGAAGTCAAATAAAAACATAAGGAAACTGGAACTTCCGGCCAAGATGGAGGCATATGTAGATATGCTTTGCTTCCTTACACAACTAAAAGAAGGACAACAACAAATTTAAAAACAAAAAACGACCAGAACTGCCATAAAATTGAACTGCATGGAAGTCCGACAATCAAGGAGTTAAAGAAGAAACATTCATCCAGACCCACTGGAGGGGTGGAGATGGGCAGCTGGGTGGAGGGGACACTCCACAAGGCAGCAGCTGGAGGACTTGGCAAGGCTGCAGCTGGCAGACTGGGTGGTCCCACATTTGCATGTGGATAAACCAGGAGGAACAATTGGGGAGCGAGCAGACCACACAACCCAGGGTTCCAGTGGAGGAAAGAAAGCCTCAAAACCTCTGGCTATAAAAATCTGTGGGGGTTGCAGTGGTGGGAGAAACTCCCAGCCTCACAGGAGAGTTCATTGGAAAGACCCACAGGGCTCTCTACACAAACACACCTAGGAATCAGCACCAGAAGGACCCAATTTGCTTGTTGGTAGTGGGGGGAGGGACTGAAAGTGGGGAGAGAGCTGAGCAAATAGTATTGTTCCTTCTCTGACTCCTCCCTAACATACAGCTCCAGCAATGCAAAGGTGAAAGTTGGCCCGTCCTGGTGAATACCTAAGACTCCACCCCTTACAACAAAGCAGGAGTGCTGAGACAAAGAAATATGGCCCAAATGAAAGAACACATCAAAACACCAGAAAAAAAAATACAACTAAGCAATGAAGAGATAGCTGAACTATCAGATGCAGAGTTCTAAGCACTGGTAATCAGGATGCTCACAGAAATGGTTGAGTATGGTCTCAAAATAGAGGGTGAAGTGAAGGCAACACAAAGTGAAATAAAGAAAAATACACAGCGAACCAATAGTGACAGGAAGGAAACCAGGACTCAAATCAACAATTGGGAGCAGAAGGAAGAAATAAACATTCAACCAGAACAGAACAAAGAAACAAGAATTCAGAAAAATGAGGAGAGGCTTTGGACTTCTGAGACAACTTTAAACGTTCCAACATCTGTATCATAGGAGTGACAGGAGAAGAAGGGGAATAGCAGGAAATTGAAAAAATAATGGAGAACTCCCCCAATCTGGTGAAGGAAATAGACTTCCAGGAAGTCCAGGAAGCTCAGAGAGTCCCAAAGAAGTTGGACTCAAGGAAGCACACACCAAGGTACATCATAATTATATTACCCACGGTTAAGTATAAGGACAGAATCTTAAAAAGAACAAGAGAAAAGGAGACAGTTACCTACAAAGGAGTTCCCATAAGACTATCAGTTGATTTCTCAAAAGAAACCTTACAGGCAAGAAGGGGCTGGCAAGAAGTATTCTAAGTCTTGAAAGACGAGGACTTACATCCAAGATTACTCTATCCAGCAAAGCTATCATTTACAATGGAAGGCAGATAAAGTGCTTCCCAGATAAGATCAAGTTAAAAGAGTTCATCATCACCAAGCCCTATTATAAAAGAGAAGGTAGAAGAAATAAGGGAAGGCATCAGACGCCGCAAGGAGGAACTAGAGAAATGGAAGTGGGGTATGAACAGGCAAGCCTGGACAAGTTGGTTACTACCGTTCTTAGGGCCCATCCTCATTACTGTGCTTGGTTGAAGTCTAGGGCCATACATCTTGCGAACTTTAGTTCGCATAATAGAGACGACAGTCACCAGACAGACTACTGCAAAAATCCTAGCCCTACAGCACTACCAGTACCAGGCTCTCCAGCGCTCGGATAGCCAGACCTACAGCCCAGCCCTATGATGATGCCAAAAGCCACCTAGTAGCTAATGGCATCAGAGCGGGGAATGTGGGGGGAAGAGAAACCAAAAACCAGAAAGCCCGATGCTATTAACCAGCTCTGCTCTCGCTTCTGTAAATTTGCTTAACCACCGCCAGTTGCAATAAGCCCTCAGACAAAGGGCTGACCTTACAATCTACTTCCGCATTCCGATCCTTTTCCCGCCCAATGCTAAGGCTTATAAACCCCCGGCCTGACCAGAGGTCGGGGCTCAGAATTTGGAGACTGCCTCCTCTGAGCCGGCGCGCGTGAATAAAGGCTTACTCCGTTCCCTGAATCGTGTCTGAGTCTGTTTTCCCGCAACAAAGGGACTTATCTAAGAAAAAGAAGATCAAAACTATGAACAGTCAAATGACAACAAACTCACAACTATCAACAACTAAACCTAAAAACAAAAGCAAACTAAGCAAACAACTAGAACAGGAACAGAATCACAGAAATGGAGATCACATGGAGAGTTATCAGCAGGGTGGGGGAGGGGTAGAATGGGGGGAAAGGTACAAGAAATAAGAAGCATAAATGGTAGGTACAAAATAGACAGGGGGAGGTTAAGAATAGCATAGGAAATGGAGAAACCAAAGAACTTATATGTATGACCCATGGACACGAAGTAAGGGAGGGGGAATGCTGGTGGGAGATGGTGTGCAGGGCTGAGGGGAATAAAGGGGAGAAAAAATGGGACAACTGTAATAGCATAATCAATAAAATATACTTTAAAAAACATAAGGTACTGTTTGAATATGATTATCAAATTATATGATTACCAAAGAAAGATGGCATATGGTAGTTAAGTGCCAAAACCATTTTCATTAATATTGGGGACAAAACAGGAATAACTAACCACTGTTTCCAACATTGTGTTTGGAGATTTTAGTTAGTGCAATAAGATAAGAAAAAGAAT